CTGGCCAACGCCCACTGATATTCTACGACTATTCAGATAACAAATACATGGAAAGCTTTCAAAACAAAAACAAATAATTACATTTACTAGTTGAATAGACCTTTTTCTGGTTCAAAGTAAGCCATGTGATGCGCATTAAAGACCTACGGGTACAATGAGAACATAATATGCAAATATAACAGGTCTTTTGAATATCTGGATTTCCCGACCGCTGACTAGCGCGGCAGTACACAAAGGGAATATTAGACCGACTATGGAGATGTCTTTGGGCAGTCTGGTGATAGAATAGGCAGTATTCTTTCTCTTTTCAAGTCACTTACTCATCGTTCTCAACTGTAGTTATTCCTCTTTACTGTTCAGATAGCATAGGCTCACTCCAGCGGTTGGTTGCTTGCAACTGATGAGTTGACCTGATATTTTTGCACCCACATACTTTTGTTTTCACCCGTCTTTTTTCATTCGGTATTTTGTAAAACTATCGGCTTTACTATGGATGATTTCTAGCGCATCAGTGAAAGTGTTTTTTGAAAGCGGTCTAAATGTCAGCCTGTCTTAGTTGCCGACATCCTAATAACTGTGTTTGCTGTGGTCTGTCAGCTGGTTGATTGGACTATTTAACTTGCTAACCGACGGGCAAGTAGAATATTAATACTGAGGGGATGGTTATATGTCAATGGGCTTCAAGTTCGCATCCCCAGACATAAGTTCCCACTCAAAATGCAGCAAACCAGAATAAAGAAGCTGAACTGGCACTCCGTTTTTATACCTATGTTGGCAAACCGAACACCCGAAAAGCGACATTATTTATAGAATGTGTTCACCCAGGAAATATCCAAACCTCATAAAGTGAAAGCCGACGATAAACTACGTTTGTGCCGTCGAACATTTTAGGTACAATCACGTCCCTATCGCAAGGTCCCCTCTGTACATCGTCTTGCAAAGTTCTCTCCAAACTGCATTTTGTTCGAAATGCCTCCTTCATAAATCAGAAAACGGAATTATCACCTGTGGGTGACCAGGTAGGTATTCTCGGCTATTTTAAAGGATTTTTAATAATTCTTGTGGAGAGTCTGATGGAATTAAGGGTTTAGACATGGGTATGAAAATAGATCAGTCTTTACCCACAATAACTTTGGTTGGATAGCTTACTAGGCGAGAACAAAACACTAAGGGATATTGCCCATCCAAGACAGAGGAGAATTTCGGTAGCCCAGGTTGTCCACATGGTTGTCCGACTGAGCGAATTGCAAAAGCATTAAGTTCTTTGCTAGCCGCATTGCTTCAGGACAGGAAAGTTTGGTCCTAGGAGTATCACTTCCCTGAATATTTGGATTCCTGCAATTCATTCACTCTGACTCAATGGAAAATGTGTGTAGTGTGGTTCTCGAAGCAGTTCTTGACCGTTGGTCACCAGTTCCAAACGGTAGACTAGCATCTGTTAGTCAGTTTTGCCCGTTTTTCATGCATGTCTGAAACTCTACACAAAGCTGAGGCTGTTAGGATTGTTGTAGATAGAAGAGACCACAATTTGGTTCACTTGTCAGATTTTAAGGGAAACATTCGTCCAAGCTACTGCCATCGTTACGCGTTTAACGACCTGACGCTGATTGTAGCCAAGTTATCTGCGTGCATCAACTCTCTTACTACTCCGATCAACAGAATTGGTGGCTGGACCTCGGCTAATCTAATAGTGCGCATTGCTTATATGAAGAAGTGCAACGACATTCCAGCCAGAGACGCGTTGATCGATCTACACAAACGTCTGATTGGTTCAGACAGCCTTTGACAAGCGAATCGGTTGATCCACATAAACTTGTTTGCTCATACATTTGGGAGAAAGTGGCTTGATCCGGATTCAATTCAAAGTGGCCGATAGAGGCATAGGTGGGTGGTGAGAGTTTTCGTGGCTCTCGTCTTACTGCACTTATTCTTGGTCACTGTCACTGTTACATTATTAATGTTGCAACAAGGGTCGTAGCTTAACGAAGGGTTATCTGCTTTCACAAATGAAGGAGAAATATAAAATTCCTCGGAAGTAGCTGATTCCTGACGAAAATGTCCTCGTGATGTATCTTTCTACGATGCCGTTCTTCCAAGCTTTTTCTCAGAGTGTTGGCACCCTGGTCAATCAGACTGAATAGTTATTACGTTTGCGTCGTACATCAGAAACCATTAATCTGGAGACCACTATTGCCACAGGGACCATTGAATCAACCTTAGAACGTATCTTACGGTTCCCTCACCAGCAATTTTCCGGTACAGATATCTTAGTTTACATGGGCCAACTTATCACACTGCAGTCCATCAAAATATGACCAATTAAAATATGAGGTTGATCATAAATCGGAGACTACTGTTTCCTGATGAACCGCGAAAACGGTGGAACCGGTAGTGCTGTGAAAGTGCTTTTCAGCAACCTTACAAGCGGTGTGTTCAACCAAGAATTTGATCAAGATTATTTCACTTGATGAGGCAATGCACTCCGAATACAGGTCTCATTGCCAACTGAGACATGCCCCATCTCAAAGCAGCGTTGGTACGCATTCAGTTTGCATGGCAAGCACAATCCTATCCGAAGAAGGTCTAGCTGAGAAACATGTGAGTAATGATAGATGGCTGGAGTGTCATTACTTTACAACACCTTTTGATGCGTCTCTGTGCCGCGTTTACCAGATGGTAAATGGAAAGGTGAGAAGAACACTTATAGACGTAAAACACCGGTCATAAGGTTGTTAAAAACTCTTTGATAGCTCACGACCGGTTTCGCCCTTTTTGGGGATCATCAGGTAGGCGCGGTTCGGGTTTCTGTCAGCCCAAATTAGACAGATTTCAAAAAACACATTCTTTTGCATTTTTTTTGACGGGGACTCACCTGGAACCCAGCTGAAACTCTCCCTTTTATGATGTGGACTGCCAAAGAGTTTTGAGCAACCTTATGAGTAGTGCGTTTCATCTATACGTGTATTGTGATACCTCGAATATCGTACTCACTGAAACACCAGGCGGCCTGATGTAGCACATTCAGTTGCTTGAAAACATCACAAACGAGATATTTAGTTGGGATCCGGGTGATTCTTACCAAGTTGATATGTAAATGAGTGTATTTATTGAAGAACACCTTATCCTAGAAATCCTAGTCAACCAAGCAACACTGTTCAGTAAAAGCATTTGTAGTTTTCATTTTCTTTGTTTGCTGGATCTCAGTCTCGTTTACAACGATCAAGTATATGCATCGTAGAATTCACGAACAGATCACTTATTCACAGACGCACTTGCTTTTTCTGCTATCATTCGTTCCCGAAGTAACAACATCCGGTATGGTAAGTGAGTAACTCATCATTGCGTTTTTCCGCATAGCTGTTGACTTTCTCCTCGGGTGAACAGAAAATCCTGTGAAAGTGTGACTGCAAAAGTCTGCCCCCCAGAACATTACTGCTGAGAAGCGCACGAGAAGTGCACGCTTTTCAGTGTTTTGCACTATGTTATATATATATTAGACTGGACCGGTTCGACCAAGTTACGGGAACAAACTGATTTTAAGAAGCTTGTGATTTATGTGGTGATCGCACGCTCTCTGCAGCCAGGGAAAATCATATCTCTCGTAAAGTGGGAGAGTTTAGGACATTCCCCCATATCCCTCAACATGAATTTGAGCATAACCTATGTGCGTCAGAACGTGTGCGCAACTCAATAAAGGGGGATTGAACGTTGGTCGTCAAAATTAACGATTTTATCCCTTCGGGTCAGCGAGTAATTTCATGAGAGGGAAACAAAACATAGGGTGGTTAGTTTGCGAGTGGGGCGAATGGATCTGAAATTCACGTGGTTTGAATCTTCCATTGACCACCGGGAGACGAGGAAACAGATAGACTGGAAATGTTCATTTATTTGGATTTGTGTCTTCTCATTGTACGTTTCTTGATAAGATAAGAAAGGCAAAAGAATGAACACCAAATTACGCAAGAGAAAGATAAGCAGTCCTTGGTGAACAGTACCATGAAGTTAGTTCTTTGAAAAATCAGGGGTCAGTCTTCCTCTTCGCAAGTATTTTTAAACACTGTTGAGTTGGCCAGTTTAAGTAGATTGGTTTCCGCTTTGATGTAATGCTGAACTCACACCCAGACAGTCGCTGTCATTGGAGTCGATAGCGTTATCTGAGTCGATGTGCTTGAATAGTGTACAGTGCGATCTGTAGCGTCTATCATGAGATCCATTTCTCCAAGAAAGTGTGTGGATCTGCGTTTTCGACACAACCAAACGGGGACATTTACTTTTTCGTACATTCACATCCATGTATTCTCACCATTGCTTCTTTTTGTATATGAATATAACCGTAATAAAGGGTCGAATGATAGGGTTCTACACTTACAGTGGACATCTAAAATATTTTTCTGTCTTTTAAATTTGGCTGATTGGAGAAACTAGCTGAGGTGAACGTGGACAGATTGGAGCTTACCATTGTGTGACTGCTGGTGATTTTCTGTGAACCATGGAGCTATGGTAGGGGATGATGGATCTTTTCCAGCTAAGCCCCGCCACCAATGCAAAAAGTGCATGTGCGAAGAGTTAAGCCCCACCACATTTTGCCAGCTCCAATTTAGTGTACGCAAACAACGTTGACCTATTTTTGATGAAAGCGATTCCTTATCCGCATCTAGGCTCATTCTGTGCAAACATTTTCTCCGTTCGGACGTAAAACCTTAAGTGAACTTTCTGACGCTTTCAACTCTCGTTCATGACAAGCAGACGGTAATAGGTTTTTTGCAAAGCCACGGAATGATCCACCAGCAACGTTTATGCAACAATGGCCACCAAATTTTAGTTTCAACTGTTTCTGACGGGTGGAGTTGTAATGCCCGACAGTATTGGCAAGAAATCGGTCACTGAAAGGGGACTTGGCTGGAGCGGTCTAGAATGGAGTTTAGGACAGTAATTCTATTCATTTATTGCTGGTCCAGAAATTTGGCAAAAATCAAATTCTACTCCGACGAATTATCTATTAGCCACACGAACACTGTTGACTGGAAGAACTTTCTTCGCGAAGTTTGCGTCTGGCGGCTTTTGCAGACTCCAACGGATCCAATGACTGGAGCTCACACAAAGACCATCGAATCTCTTTGGCACGTCTACAAGATGCAGGTCGGCACACACCGATCTTTACTGGACAGCTACTTGTGTGAGTTCGTTTGGAGGCAAAGGTACCGGAAAACGGACCTTTTCACACAAATTATTATTGACATCCCAATTTCATCCTCTTCAATAAGAAACCAAAAGCACGAATTGCAAATCCTCTTTTCTCTAGTATTTCTTGTGTGGCAGGGGTTAATTTCCTGGTGGGGTTTATCTGGAAAAGATCCGGGGATGATATCCCCCATAATTCTCACACCGGGTTGGCCAGTCAGTATTTTAGCCCAGGTTAGGGATGGGAGCATATACAGTAGCTTGTTTTTCAAAATTTGGACAACCGAAAAAGTCTTACACCACCTTTCATTGACTCGCAGTCAGGCATTTTAAATAAAAGCTTTATCTAAGGGTCCCCCTGGTGCTACTTTCGGCTCCCATACAATCAGGATCTTGAAAAATCCAGGTATTTCATGCTACATCGGTCGCCGCACGGTGCCACTAGCTGGGTATCATTGCTTGCCACATACGGCAGGACGGGCAAGTGAAGGTAGGCTGATACCGATGCCGTTTATTTTTTTCACTGTTAAATCCGAGTCATAAACACGCCACCTTTGCGCACAAATAAGTGACTACTGGCATGTTACTATACACATTCGCTGATATCCATTCCCTACTCAAAGCTGGTCCCTCTGTTGTTATTTCGGCTCCAAATGAACGAAGTTGGTCCATGAAGAAGACTCACATTTGAGACTTTAAAAACAAACATTTGCTGCGTTTAGACGACCCGAATAAAAGATCTGAATAAGGTAACCGAGAACACAGCACCCCAGTTATCTAGACGCCAGTACCTAAGAACCACAGGCAATTTTGCAGCTGATGCAGTGGTTTGCGCCGCCGGTAGTTTGGATCTCAAATCCAAAGCGTATATCTCCAAACTTGGCTGGATCCCAGCAAAAACAGCTTCGTGCGGTTGTTTCGAGCTTTCAGCGAACCTATGAAGACCGTCCACTTTCTGCATTTCCCACATACACGTTAATCAAGTGAAGCTTCGATTCGGCGTTTATCAGGGAGAGTTCAGGGCTTACCCTATTTACTGCGAGTGAAGTACCCCAGGCCATCTTGGTATCGGTAATTTTGCAGTGATGCAGTCGTTTGCACCGCCGGTAGTTTGGATCTCAAATCCGAAGCGTATATCTCCAAACTTGGCTGGATCCCAGCAAAAACAGCTTCGTGCGGTTGTTTCGAGCTTTCAGCGAACCTATGAAGACCGTCCACTTTCTGCATTTCCCACATACACGTTAATCAAGTGAAGCTTCGATTCGGCGTTTATCAGGGAGAGTTCAGGGCTTACCCTATTTACTGCGAGTGAAGTACCCCAGGCCATCTTGGTATCGGTGCATCTTTGTACAACGGACAAACGAAGAATGTCCCTAAAGTTCGTGGAAACTCCTCGTTTCCTTTACTTAGGGCGCACACAGAAGTATCCAGAGCTCTCCCAAATCTAATGGGGGTTCCCAACGCTGTCCCTAATTATTTTCAAATGCACCATTGCAGCACCACAGAACGCAATCACCAGCTGAATCTGGGTGCCGAAAGCACATCTGGAAGAAAACTATGGGACATGGATTTCACAGACGACATTGTCATATTTGACGATAATGCGTTCAAAGAACTATCAAAAACGGTTTCGGCGTGTGTTGTGCACTGTCAATTACAGCTTTATCTCCAGTGATAAAAGCCTATTGTGTTAATCAAATTGCTTATCTTGGTAGCAGTGACTGTACCATGCTACAGAAAGAGGTGAAAATTCAGATGGGTTCATCGTGCACTGGTGGAGTGATGGTAACATGCTCGCCCCGCATGCCAGATATCTAGAGATCAAACCCATCCACGGCCAAGGATATGCATTGCTGATGAACTTTAATGACAACGAAGCTCGATTTAAGTGCTTACTCTCTCTAGTATGAACAAGGATAATTAAATCAAAACAGGAGCATGGCTATTCAAACAAGAGCGATGTGAGCCCGAACCCTACAAGTCACGAAAACACCCACAACTAACGCATACACCATCAAGACACGAGCACTATCCGTTAGCTCGTACCATCTTTGGCGTCAGAAACGAATTTGTGGGATTGTCGGGTTGTGTCTACAAAAAGGACACGGACCGGGTTAGCAAGCAACAGTTTAGGCGCGGTCAATAGTGCAGCGATCTTTGTCAGGCACAAAGGAAATAAACGGGAAACGGATACGCGATAGCAATTGCATAACCGTCAATTTAATCGCCTAACCGAAAAATGGCCACATTTCTCACTACTTAGCTATACAAGGTAGTTCGAAACTTCAACAAAAACATCAACCGGCAGGATTCCGTGGAGAAGATAGGCATTTCGCTTTTATTCCTCCCCTAATTTTTGCCTTGAGTCACATAACTTGCGCTTATAGCTATTGTTGGCGTGTGCAAAATTCACGCGAAGTCTGATGATGCACCACACAATGAACGTCGGGTCTTCCCATAGTCCTCCCTCCAGACTTACCGTGACACTTAACCGTTCGATTCCATGCGCAAGCCTGTGACAGAAGGGAGCACATCATGAATCGGAAGCTTGGTGGGAGACGGATATACATTCTGTATTAAACCCTTTGAACCACTGATTCACGGGCTTCGGAGGAATAACGGTTCCTTAGGGTTAATTCGGATGTCCGTTGATACGCCACTATACTGTACGTCCGGTCTGTTCAATAGTGTTGGTGCTTCTCAGAACGATGTATCATGCTGTACTGTCAGAGCCGGCCATCAGCTTCAGCGCCGCAGATATCTAATGTCATCATTCGTTTGATTTACGCACAATGAAGTACGTCATGTCGCCCTCAATCGACTTATGGAAGTGCTGCAGCCGAAAAGTTCTGTTATGCTGCAAACACATCGGGGACCAAATGAATGTTTGCAGACGCTCCACGATTGGAAAGACCGTATCGCACAGCCACAATTTACGAATACTCTCAATTGTTTGGTGGGAATCTAAGATGGCGCGAGTTTATAAATACTTCATGTACTTTGATGATGCTTCAAGGTGAGACATCCAAATATATAGGCCTAGGAGAAACTCATGATTCCCGCTCTGGAGACCTTAAGAGAAAAAAGGATGTGAAACCATGACGCAATGTTTTGTCGAGACCATGAACCACTCTCTAAATTCTATTTGTTTAAATTATCTAATCAGGTTGTTCAGACGCACAGTCACTAGACAAAAAAAGCTTTAACGTCCGAACTATCCACTTCATTACCTTTTCACAGCTTCTTGAGTTGTGTACATCATGATGACGTAAATGATAAAATTAGATGAAATTTTGCATGATACATTGCAAACCTTAACTCGGTAGGCCATGCGGGACGAAGGAGCATGAGAAATTTTGAATGCTCCAAGGGCATTCACCATGTTGAAGATCTAACGTATCCACGGAGTCGATGGTGTCTTTGAAATAAGGGAAAATCGCAACTGTCGGTGGTAGGCATGACGCTGCTGAAACATTTTAAATAATTTGAAGATGAGGTCAACACCTCCCCTTACCAGGTCGAAATCCTGCCTTTCGGGTCTGCGTCTCATATGCTGAAACCGTGCTTGGTTTGTTTTGAATTCAGTAGCCCGGTTATGGCTAGGGTAAGGCCTATAGCTTATAGGTTGGAGCAATCGCTTCGAGTGCCACTTTAGAGTGGAGTAATAATAATTGACTGACCCCATATTTCTGGGACTTGTTTTCGATTCCGAAATGGTTCAAAACCCAGTAAAGGCATAACACAAAGATTCACCACCATTTCGGCGTAACACCGCTGAAGCTCATCTGGAGCACATACTGGAGGGTGTTTCAGGACACAAAAACGGAGAGGTCTAAACTAATGTACAACGGTTCACACTGAGTAGGGTGAGGAGAGGCCGTAAACACAGAAGATTCCCAACTGTGTCCTTTATTATTTCGTCACCCCATTGATGATCACTATCCGTCCCCTAAAGTGTGTGTTCACGTCACACAAACCAGGAGGCTTAGTGCATTATATGACGAACATAGCAGTGCCATGGCCCTAATAATTGCGTTAATGATCTGCCTTTCTGTAGAACGATTGTCTTACAGAAGAGGGCGAGATGGCCCAAGTGGTTAGAGCGCGGATTTACTGGCCGGAAGATCCGTAGTTCAAACTCAACCTGTGCATCTCGACTTCCCCTATCTAGGCTCGGGCGACCAGACAGTATCCCCTACCCTTGGGTGGCATGGCAGTTAGGCGCCGAAAGGGTGTCACAGCCGAAAGAAGAACGATTGTTATTTTTGGCAACCAGTATGACCGAATCCAAATTTACTCTATGAGCCCACAAGCATAAGAAGAAAGGATAATCATCTTGGGTCCATTCAACTGATAGAGCGAAGGAACAGTACGCCAGTAAGATCCTTTCGTACAGTTCGCGAGCCACCTCAAGGGACGTTGATTTGCCTACTATCCTTGAGTCACATCCGTGGGTAGATTTCACTTACCATTGACATCACGCCCCCAGGCAAACATGACTGCCAGATTTAAACCGATTGGCAGTAGTGCCAGAAGGAATTAGAAAATTTGGTCGCCAAGGCGGCAAAAGACTACTTCGATTCAAATTGCAGCTCCTTTGCGTCTCACATGATGGACAGCTTGAAAACAGGTCTTGAACATAAAGAGGAACGTCAAACCGAATGCGGAAATTGAGTCTACCTTGCACGCGAGGCCAGCCAATCATGCAAAGCTGGGCCGCACTGTGCAACTGCCCGACAACCTGTTGGACCTCATAGATAGTGGGTACCTCATGAACCTCGAAGAACAGAACCTGCGATCATTCGATTGGTAGTTGCGCCTTATGCCACTGGTTAGTGGCAGACGGTAGGCCATGGTAAGCCAAGCCAACTTGTACTTAGTGCTCAACAAACTCCCGGAACGTCGCGGGTTCGACTGTCTCCATACATTTGAGAAATGCACATTACGAAGATTCTCAGTAGGGGTGAGACATTGTTTCTTGGCTTTCTAACAACGATTCTAAAATTTTTCATTTTTATTTTACTTGCAAGGTAAATCACGATAGAAACCCCACAATCTTCCCACTACCTATGGATCGGTCGTTTGTAGTAACAGATAATCTATCTAGGTGAATGGCAATGGGTGAGACCGTTACAGCACATCCTCTGCATGTAAGCGGGTAGCTCGGCAGCAGAATGTCCTTATGTTTCCTGCCGATTCCCCCACCCCCGGATGGCATCGAAATGTAAAAATTACATTAAACCCGAAAAAACGGCTCCACATAAGAGTCTTGCACTAGGGTGTTTTCAAATTGTAAGGACGAGTTTGGTGTCACGGAATGTTCCTCGTTGCGTTAAGACACTCTGCCCCCCAGTGCGATCCAAAAAATCGTCTAGCTGTAACATCCTTTCGGTGCCTAGCTGCCACGCCACCCGAGGGAAGTATGAGGACTGGGATACTACCAAGTTGCCCAAGCCTAGACAGGGGAAGTGGAAAGGCAGAAGTCGGGTCCGAAACACGGACCTTCCGGTCAGTAAATTCGCGCTCTAACCAATTGAGAGATCTCGTTCCCAAGTGCGATCCAACCGCCACAAATTACCGTATTAACAAAAGTCGGCAGCGTAGCTAAATAAATATGTCTTGTCGAGACTATACAAATGATGCCGAAAAGCTCAGGTGCAAAATGGTCCGCGTGAATGATGAAGACAATGAGGTACCTGAAAAATAAACAGTCAAATAGCGTATCAAAATGGAGAAAAATCCAAATGTCTATAGTTCGATCAGATAACTTCAACTTGGTGTTAGGCGGGGGTGTCACCACCTGAACACGGATCAGCAGCGACAGACTGGGATGCGTATAATTTCCGTAGAACTCGCAAGGCACGTTTGGCAGCGAGACTCTTGGCCAATCGATAGTTTCGACCGATTCCGTAGAAGCGTCCCTTCCCTAGGACGTGAGCACAAACAGATATTCTTCCATCCGCAGTTCTTCGGGGACGTCTATCAAAAGCCAGATAAAATTAATGAGAGCAGTTCAGTCATATAGGGAAGCCGTAGACTGTAGCAATAGTCCAGTGTTCTGTACCGAACACACATACCTCTATCTACCGTCATAGCGCGAACCAGTATGCAATAAAGTACAAAGGGATCAGCGTAACAGATCTACTGGTGTAATCACAGATCTCAATCAATGGAAAGAACGACAATGGGTGAATTCCTCTCGAATTATCTAAAAGTGAACCACACGGTCTACCACCTGGATGGCACGATAAGGATATGACGTGAGGCGAAAATCGCGGAAGTCTGCCTGTTTTTGCCAACGGATACGGGGCCTTAGTGAATTTAGCTTCATACGGTTGAATCGAGGTGGACCACCCCAAGGGACAGAGCGTGTGGCTTAAAATCCAAACAAATTTAATAAGGACACAAGAGAGTCGATTAGACACTATGATATAAACTCTGTCATTTTTTCCGGGAACTGGCATTGGTTACGGGCGTCATGCTGTGTGACTCAGTTCTTCCAGCCTTGTCATAGAAAGTGAAAGGGTTTGGCTTTCTAATGACAGGAATGTTCGAACTCTGGCGAACACTTTAATGAGAATGAGTAGAGACGAATTCGTGGAGAGAGGAATAAGTCCGGGGCATGCACAGATCACTTCAGGAGATTCGTGGCAAACGGAAAGTGCATAACAACCGACGCTGGTAGGTTTAAATTGCGCACACGATTGCCAAGGTTTTGAAACAGGAAGATGGTTCCTACCCTGAGCGTATGGCGGGTATAAGGGTCGAAATATGCCAGATCCCACCGGGAGTGGTTTTTTTATTTCGTAACACAGGGCACGCCATGCTACACCCCCAAAGCTGATGAACTGCAAGTCAATGGAAGATAGATGCTAACGAACAAGCTTGAAATGAAACATAGACTCACTCAAACTTTGTGCCTTCTGGTTCCAATTCTAGTAACTGACGTACAGGAGATTTGGGAATACATGCAGTATAACGCTCTGAAAGCAGATATGCAAGTGACAAACTAAAAACTTGGAGTCATTTAGTGAGATTTTGTGCAATATGAAGCTATATTTATGCAGAATTGAAGGAAACTTCAGTCAATTAATAGTGGAGAGGGGATTGCTTTTGCCTGTCAACTTAAGCGAGAAATGTCACAATTTTTCAGACATATCACCTGGTGGAACACTCATCAAACCGTGTGTTCGACTTCCGAACAATTTTTCCACCGCTTTTGTCTGTTTACTTGAGCTTCTCAGTTGAGATTGCCAAAACAACATGAAGTGTTTGACGCTAACAATATCCATATTCTTCTACTGTCATTCGCACCCAGAGAACTGCCTTCTGTTTCCCCATAGTTTTTAGCTAGTCTGTCGGGTGTTTGCATGATTTCAGCGCACATCCATTCAGAAATCACGGAGAAGACTCAGTATTATCAGCGATGGTCTCGGTTGACTGATCTACTGGTTATATGCGAGGTAAATGACATTTGAAGTTAAAATTCATACGTGTGGCAGCCTTCGCGATAGTCAAGCACCTCCTCCACTAGACAGAAAGCTGTAGATTCATTCCGAAACCTCGAAATTTCTCTTTGAACTGGGTTCACCTAGGTTTTTTTATACAAGATATGAACGTACTCATACATTCTAAGTATTCCATCTCTAAAAGAGAGATATACTACCAATAAAACCGGCAGACCGTATCAAGACGGCCCCAAGCTAAGTTGCTTACTTACGTACTTCCTACACCGGAACAGGCTGCAACGCAGAGTACGTTTGTCTCAGTTGCGTTCGGGATGGAGGAGATCTAGAGATGATCAGGCGACGCACGAAAGCCTGAACTACTGAATTTGGGTGCGTTGGTAACTAGGTGAGGATCTAATGGACGGCACACACCAGTTGTATACACATACTGATGGACACGACCCAATTACACGATCGAAGGCGATTCTGTAGAGATGCCTTCAATGCGTTGCTTTTTAACGCATTCTTAAGATAAGCATGCAAACTAACAAGATCTACTATTGTTATACGTGAGGGGAAAGGCATGAGCGAAGACTGAAAACAACAACAAACATTACAAGGCAACTCACCTATGCGCTCTTTCATTAGAGGGTAGAAAACAGCCCATACGGTGTCTAGGCTCAAATCGGAATCCAAGAAAAGTGCACCTGCCAGCGATTCAAATATGTCACCCAACGCTTTAGGTATTTCAACATCATCCGAAACGCGGTTTGTTAGATCGGTTTTGTTTGACGATCTGCAGTGAGATGCGGACGCCTGTGTGGTTGGCACTGATACACTGTCAGAGACCGTTTGCTTATCATCAACCTTAATGCAAATAAATGGGGTATTTTGAAGAAAGAAAACGATGGAGTAATAAATGCCGGGTGTTGGACTATCTCAATTAGAAGCAACACCTGAGGAACCGTCCAGAGTCATCGTGCTGTAAGCTTCGTTTACAAATACAAGGATGAAATATGTAAGACGGAGAGGAAGAGATGCATTATCCACTCTCTGGTCACAATCGGTTTCAGGAGCACAGTGAAAAAAAAGCAACTGGATCGTAAGGAATTTGTGCCGGTTTAACCTGCCCACACTGTAATTCGCCCATAAGCACTATCTTCGTTTAACTTAGGCGAGTTACTGAACGCACTGAAACGATTAAAGATAAATATCTGGACTGAAGAAAAATATTTTCCTCACAACACCTTGGGTATGTAGGGACACACTTGTACCGTCGAGTTTGTTAGGTGAGGGGCCGTTGTAGTCAGCTTGTCGAACGAAGAGCTTAATACGATAAAAAAAACAATATAAGCGAATCCTGTGAATCGCCTTGGAATGCATCCGTGATGGACCGACGGTTGATAGAACATAGCCGACAGAAGCAATTATTTGAAATTCAACCTTATTCCTGAAACCCGATGAGCCCGGCCAAAACTATATCATCCGACGCCAAGGACACACTGAAGACACAGGAAACATGAATCCAGTTAGGTTGTCCGACAAAATCCGAATACTACGAAACAATACTTGAAAATAGCAAGCCGGGCTCAGCAAAACAATGGAATACGTGGAAGATCATTTAGTACCTGCGGCAGTGAACAAAACAACGACCATGTCCGGTTCCTGCAAACCTACAATATTATCAGGGACTTGTTCATAAAAAAAACTGTCGGCATGTGCAGCGTACTCGTAGTCCATTAGAAGCGGACTGAGCACTGAATCGAAACACCTTCAAGAGGTAAATTCGAACCCATACAATTTTGTCCGATAACAGATGTGAAGTCCGGGCGCGTCGTGCACGCCAGACGGTCGATCTCGATGCATGGATCATGCGAACTTCAATTCTGACGCACATTCATATACCAAGTCAGCAGTTAGCTATATTTTCCGGTTATCACTATCGTTGTACACGAAGCTTTTTACTGACCTTACGGCCTGGTTCAACCAGATCTAGCAGTACAAAAATCCTGAAATATCCTCGTCCTAATTCAGACAACTTATCAGAACAAAGAAGTGTGCGAAACAGAAAAGTAAAAAGATTCATCGTCATAAAATAACTCACATTTGGAGCAAAGTTACCTAACAGCTTCTCTGCCTCATTCTGTTGCCACCTGCTCTCTTGTTCTTTGGCTGCGTTCAGTAGGGTAGCATCTAGAGTATCAATCTCCTCGTCTTCGACATCTGGTTTGTCTGATGCATCTGTTGATTGCGCTTGAGTTTTCTCGGATTGATCGTACTGATCTTCTGTGAGTGGATCCACCGGTTCTAGTTGGCGTATTTCAATATCCTGGAAAGAAGAAATCCAGAGGAAAATCGGGACGTGATATCAGACAAGGAAGCGGTTAAGGTGGTAGTGAATTCGGCGGAAACTTTGATCACATACGCATGCTGCCAGGAAAATTTGTACGGCATTTCTTCTCCAATTATTTGCTGAGCATCAATTGTTTCTAACCAGGACAGGCGCCCGCATCGTATGATTTCGAAGCCACCGACTGTGAACCTGTCATGGAATCAGTTGGACTATGTAGCGATCGGTTACCGATGGGGAGTTTCGATACAAGATTGTCGTTCACTCTGAGGTACACCACTGGACATCCATCCCAGCATTATCCAGGCACGCATATCTATTCGCCTTCCCACTGAAACGCGCCAGTTGATGCAAAGCCATTCAGTTTAGCTACGAAGCATCCCTGTTGCTCAACACAAACGAGCTGAGTTGGATGAGGAGCTCCCATAACTCGACAGAAACATTGGATGACAACTGGAGAAGGGTGAAAGCGGTCATGATCAGTCTTCAGAACCGCTTGCCTGAGGTCCCTCCTACAGATCAATGATCAGCAGCTGTTTGAAACCAGTAGCAAACGACTATGACGGCGCGCGCAGACCCTTCAAACGCCGAATAATGAAGAGTTTAAAGATTGACAACGCTAGTGGACCGCGAAAGCCCGAGAAATGAAGAGTTTTGCACCAGTAAACAATTGAACCCTGTTCCAATTAATCCGATCAGCTGGTCTAAGCGTAGCGGGTGTTAGTGAAGCAGTCTCCGGAAAGGATGGGACCTTAATTCATTCACAGGAAAGTTGTCTCGAATGGTCGGCTGAATACTTTGAAGGAAGATGCAGCTGCCCCTCATCAACTCACCTAGAAAGGCTAACTGAACCCGACTGGGATGCGCATACCAAAACAGTAAAAGGAAGTCCAGCATGAAATTTCACTGCTTCATCGCAAAAAAGCCCCTGGACCAGACAATTTTCGACCCGCACTCTTCAAAGAAGGTAAGGAGCCCTAACGACCCCACTCCATAGCGCTTGGAGTAAAAGGAGAAAACTGCAAAATAGAGCGCCTCGACGGTGATTCCTGTCTTAAAAAAAGACGCAAGAACATTATGCGGAAAACACCGGGGCATCGAAATAATAGCTGTAACTTCCAATGTGATGTCTGGGATTATCCTATGGGAGTTGATTCATCATTGAGGGCATCACATGCGCGAGAATCAAGCTAGATTTCTCCCTGTCCGGGGTTGTATCGACGACATCGTCACCTTGCGGAACGTGCTGGAAGTGAGCTGCGCTCCTGACAACAAAAGATGGTTATACCTCTCATATCTGGTATATATATATATATATATCTCATATCATATCTGGTTTTAACCCCGTTGAACATTAGAAAATGTGGTAGTGTCCGGTGATGAAGTGCCCCCTCTAGACTTGTCATTCATAAAGGATCCATATGAATTCTCCCGTAGACACCTGTGTCTACAAAAACCTTTCTTCTGAGTTCGATGTATACAATGGTGTCAGGCAGGAATGTCCTCTGTCACTTGTAACTGCAATGCTTCTCGGATCTTCCTCACCCGTCTTTAAGAACTCGGGGATCGAGACACTCCCGGGGCGTTCACTCACAGACACTAAGTACACCGACGACATCGCCCTTCCTGGATCAGGTCACATCAAACTATTTTACATAAACTAGATAATTCTGTTGCACAGTTCGTCACGCGCTACTGCAAGATCTGGTGGGATCAAACCTAAACCTTAAGTTTGCAGGTGAACCGAGTGATGTAGCAAATAAGTTCGTTTACTTGGGCACATGCATTAGTCTCGGGAGTCTGCCAAAAGACGAAGTCACTTACAGATTTGGGAACACCGGAGAAGTGTTTGCGAACTTCCGACGTTTGTGGCGTCGGAAGCTCGACTGTCAATGGTAGCGTGTAACGCCACGGTCGACCAGTCAACTTTATGGACCAGAGACATGACTGGTGCGTGTGAAAAGCCTTTGAAGGTTCCCTGTATCGGACCCCAGGTGCATTCAAAGCATTGCGCGAGTCTGATGGGAACACCAGATCACTAGTGCTAAAGTACGCCAGACGTTTTTCGGGAAAGTTCACTCTCCATCGAGAGATCAGCTAGTCACATACCACAGGTTAGACTGGACAAGCCACGTGCATGGTAAGTCAGAAGACCGCTTGCCAAGTAGAGACCTATTCGTCCAGTCTTGTGTCGCATGGAAACGATTCACGAGCGGTCAGCCCATGACGTGGCAACGAAGCACGAGAGCCTTTACCAGTCAGCTCAGTTACGTTGGTAAATGCCATCTTTCCGGATGGCAACCACAGGACGAAGCAAACCTTTGGCCCTGATGCGTATGGCTGTCAAGCGCTAATGACGGCGTTGCATCAAAGTTATCGCCTTCACTGCGTAGCCATCAATCTCTGCCACAGTGGATAAACAGAACCGTTCGATGTCAATGAACTGATTGGGCCATAACCTTCGATGCATGGCTCTCATTCCCTTATTCTCTTCGTCTCCGGCGAACGAAGCTGTGGCAACTGGAACCACCGCATCCCGATGTATGGTTTGTGAGCTAAAAAACTGAACTGAACTGAACTGAACTGATGTCGTTCACTCTGAGGTACACCACTGGACATCCATCCCAGCATTATCCAGGCACGCATATCTATTCGCCTTCCCACTGAAACGCGCCAGTTGATGCAAAGCCATTCAGTTTAGCTACGAAGCATCCCTGTTGCTCAACACAAACGAGCTGAGTTGGATGAGGAGCTCCCATAACTCGACAGAAACATTGGATGACAACTGGAGAAGGGTGAAAGCGGTCATGATCAGTCTTCAGAACCGCTTGCCTGAGGTCCCTCCTACAGATCAATGATCAGCAGCTGTTTGAAACCAGTAGCAAACGACTATGACGGCGCGCGCAGACCCTTCAAACGCCGAATAATGAAGAGTTTAAAGATTGACAACGCTAGTGGACCGCGAAAGCCCGAGAAATGAAGAGTTTTGCACCAGTAAACAATTGAACCCTGTTCCAATTAATCCGATCAGCTGGTCTAAGCGTAGCGGGTGTTAGTGAAGCAGTCTCCGGAAAGGATGGGACCTTAATTCATTCACAGGAAAGTTGTCTCGAATGGTCGGCTGAATACTTTGAAGGAAGATGCAGCTGCCCCTCATCAACTCACCTAGAAAGGCTAACTGAACCCGACTGGGATGCGCATACCAAAACAGTAAAAGGAAGTCCAGCATGAAATTTCACTGCTTCATCGCAAAAAAGCCCCTGGACCAGACAATTTTCGACCCGCACTCTTCAAAGAAGGTAAGGAGCCCGTCGTGACTAACCTAACGACCCCACTCCATAGCGCTTGGAGTAAAAGGAGAAAACTGCAAAATAGAGCGCCTCGACGGTGATTCCTGTCTTAAAAAAAGACGCAAGAACATTATGCGGAAAACACCGGGGCATCGAAATAATAGCTGTAACTTCCAATGTGATGTCTGGGATTATCCTATGGGAGTTGATTCATCATTGAGGGCATCACATGCGCGAGAATCAAGCTAGATTTCTCCCTGTCCGGGGTTGTATCGACGACATCGTCACCTTGCGGAACGTGCTGGAAGTGAGCTGCGCTCCTGACAACAAAAGATGGTTATACCTCTCATATCTGGTATATATATATATATATATATCATATCATATCTGGTTTTAACCCCGTTGAACATTAGAAAATGTGGTAGTGTCCGGTGATGAAGTGCCCCCTCTAGACTTGTCATTCATAAAGGATCCATATGAATTCTCCCGTAGACACCTGTGTCTACAAAAACCTTTCTTCTGAGTTCGATGTATACAATGGTGTCAGGCAGGAATGTCCTCTGTCACTTGTAACTGCAATGCTTCTCGGATCTTCCTCACCCGTCTTTAAGAACTCGGGGATCGAGACACTCCCGGGGCGTTCACTCACAGACACTAAGTACACCGACGACATCGCCCTTCCTGGATCAGGTCACATCAAACTATTTTACATAAACTAGATAATTCTGTTGCACAGTTCGTCACGCGCTACTGCAAGATCTGGTGGGATCAAACCTAAACCTTAAGTTTGCAGGTGAACCGAGTGATGTAGCAAATAAGTTCGTTTACTTGGGCACATGCATTAGTCTCGGGAGTCTGCCAAAAGACGAAGTCACTTACAGATTTGGGAACACCGGAGAAGTGTTTGCGAACTTCCGACGTTTGTGGCGTCGGAAGCTCGACTGTCAATGGTAGCGTGTAACGCCACGGTCGACCAGTCAACTTTATGGACCAGAGACATGACTGGTGCGTGTGAAAAGCCTTTGAAGGTTCCCTGTATCGGACCCCAGGTGCATTCAAAGCATTGCGCGAGTCTGATGGGAACACCAGATCACTAGTGCTAAAGTACGCCAGACGTTTTTCGGGAAAGTTCACTCTCCATCGAGAGATCAGCTAGTCACATACCACAGGTTAGACTGGACAAGCCACGTGCATGGTAAGTCAGAAGACCGCTTGCCAAGTAGAGACCTATTCGTCCAGTCTTGTGTCGCATGGAAACGATTCACGAGCGGTCAGCCCATGACGTGGCAACGAAGCACGAGAGCCTTTACCAGTCAGCTCAGTTACGTTGGTAAATGCCATCTTTCCGGATGGCAACCACAGGACGAAGCAAACCTTTGGCCCTGATGCGTATGGCTGTCAAGCGCTAATGACGGCGTTGCATCAAAGTTATCGCCTTCACTGCGTAGCCATCAATCTCTGCCACAGTGGATAAACAGAACCGTTCGATGTCAATGAACTGATTGGGCCATAACCTTCGATGCATGGCTCTCATTCCCTTATTCTCTTCGTCTCCGGCGAACGAAGCTGTGGCAACTGGAACCACCGCATCCCGATGTATGGTTTGTGAGCTAAAAAACTGAACTGAACTGAACTGAACTGAGATTAAACGCGACAGTCCGGGTCTTCAACGCAGCCATTTACCTATCCTAATTTATACCTGAAAAACATGACGGAGGAGTGGAAGATACGGGCTTCTGGTTACAAACGTCTCCAACGTGTGATGAGAGTCCGCTGTCTATTGTTTCCCAAAGATGAGGTTCAGGAGGGTCATCGGGACTCATCGCGTCTAGTTTAACTACTTCAAGGACATCCACAAACGTTTTGAATATCTTCTACGCGGGAGCAAGACCAAATAAACCTGTCACTACATCATGTAAAGTGGTTGTCTCGAAGGACACGTAGAAGATGGTCTCAGTGTGGTTGAACAAGGAACAACGTAGTCTACCCAAGGAACTTCTAGGATAAAGTAATTCTGCCTCAGGTCGCCGCTTTCAAATTGAGAATCAAGAAGTCGATAGGAGTCGGAAATTGAGCACTCTGCGTGATTTTGTAAATCTTTTGCAATCTCTTTTGTGAATCTCATGCGAAAATGAAGACATATCGGTGTCATGACATCTTATGATCATTCACGATAAGCTGAACAGTATCCACGCATTAGAAAGTACAAAGCACAGGGGTATAGGCTGCTTTCCAATTAGCTATTGACCTAGGCAGCATTCCGGTTGATAGGTCACAATAACCAGATGACCTGATTATACCTACTTGACTGAGACAACATTAAATTAGGTTCGCTTCAGCCTGATTGACTGAAAACAGGCCGAAAGACCAGCTACAGTGCTTTGGGTCCCACCAGCCTCTCCACAAAATTCAACAAAGTTCATTTCTGACAAATATATCCACCATAATTTACAACACACCTTGCAATCATATGGTTTCTGCGATTTCCCTTATTGATTTCTACTGCTTACGAGAATCACCCCTGTACATAAAGCAGGGATCCTTCATGATGGCGGAGGTTAACAAACGGAGCGTATTTGCTCGACCAACCTCACAATATAGCAGGCGACAGAGAGAGCTGAAGTTACTGTAAGTCTCCTTCAGAATCAAGATTGCAGCATCTTGCAGAATGAATGTCAGTATTAGGCTTCTTCTTTGGACAATATGGTAAAGCGTTTTTCTTCCTCCTTTGGTGGTGAGTTTTGGCAGGATGTCTGTGGCAAATTTTACCTGGAGTTTGATGGCACCGTTAGACCGAATATGAACATCCTGAAAGACGTATACTAGAGATTCACAAGCCTGAAAAAAGCTGCATCGCTAGCAGCTTGCTTGCAATACCCGGGAACAGCTGACACAGTTCGTACCCTCCCCCCTGATGGCTGTCAACCTGTGATACAAGGTGAACTGTTGGCTAGTAGGTAAATACAAACGTCGTCCAATTGTACAAAGTAAGAGCTAGCGTCAAGGCTTGAAGATTACCTCATTGGTGATGAAGTCTAGATCATCATTGACCACTTCCTTCTGATACCGAACAAACACATCTATGGTATGCAACAGTTGAGGAGATGATGCACGAAGGAACTGGTGAAGCCCGGCTCGTACGGAGAGAGCAGCAAAGATGTTGTTGTTCACAAGAGCTGACCGCAAGTCGGTCAACACACCAGGGGAATGTTGTTGAGAATCCTCGTAGAGGAAGCGAGTAATAACATAGTCTAGTACTGCGTCACCCAAAAATTCCAAACGCTGATAACAGTCCGTGTCTGTCAAAAATGTTGAACTGAAGGGGTCGTCATCGGGGTTCACCGGCAAAGTTTTTCGCAGCTGATGGTAGGAAGGATGTGTAAATGCCTACAAAGTAAAGGGATACTATTTGTTAGGTGAAGTCCGATAATAAAAGGAGCGGTAATGCGCACAAACGTGAAACCAATTTCAGGCAGGACTGACCGTTATTATAATGAATTCAAAAAGAGTTTTATATCGCCAGAATGTGAGACTATAAGAGGGTAAGTCAAAGCAAAGCTATTGTAGTTCAGAAGGTCAACAGATGCTATTTTCCGTTCAAAAACTAAACAATCAACTATTGTGAGATTATAAGAACAAATATACAAAAAACTAAAAAGATAGGAGTCCTGGAGATGATGCTGCGTCTTATGCACATAAACTATATGAGGTACGGTTGCTACGATTGATGATCTTGGATCCAAGAGGGCTAGGTTGAGTTCTTTTATGGGCTGCGGTTGCCCTTAGAACATAAAACTTATCTATTGAATAAATGGCTTGGAAACCAACAGTGGAGCAGAAACTTCATTAATAAACAGAAACTGAGGAAATACGGTGGTTGGAGTGTAGACACTCAGTTACGAATGCATGACCCGATCGAGGACTATGGCTGTGGCAGTCGGGCTTGACATGTCGATTACTCCACTCTTCTTGCTTCTACACCCAACAAGACTCTCAAAAAGCAGTTCGAAACGTGATCTAATATCCGATTCTTTCAAAAAAGCACTCCAAAGCTAAAACTTCTCCCCCAAATGCCTTAGAAGCTGTTTCATGAAACATTGGAAATAGAACTATCCAGTGGACAGGGTTCTGAGAGTATATCCTCGTATTAATCAGAATAATGAGTCAAAAGTTCGAGATTAGGCAGCTCAATAAACACCATTCTTCGGCTTAGGCAACCGCGAGACATCAACAATGATTACAGCTTCTAATTTAACCAAGACCACACACAATTCACTCAGCTGTCGACCACCTAATAATTGCTCTGCATGTAAACTTATGCCTAGTATGGCAAACTGAAACGAACACGCTAAGGGACTTTCTTCACATTGCACCTTCCAGCGTCCGTACTCAATGTTGAAATGGGCAACAGGTATCTCTTGCTCAGATCTTGTTTTTGTTGTCACGGGCTGTGTATCCACAGCTCGCAGACCATACCCCAACTCGGTCATGCAACACAAATCGCTTGGGACGTGCTTAGGTGATTCGGATATTAATATTTGCGTATGTGATGATCCTGATGGAACGACTTCAGATATTCACGGTGTGGGAATTGCATTAGCCTCGGGGGTTCGAACAGCTGGCAGCAGCGAGGAGTGAGTGCTGTCGGTCGCGCTCTAACCACTTGAGCCAATTAAGATGAATGTAACTCGATGCAGCGTCAGCACACACTCCGACAGTCGGCAGCACACAAGTTTAGATAAATGATTCCTGTCCGAGCTTCTCAGGTTTAGCAGGGATAATCACATCATTCAGAAGAAAGAGGTCGCCCATCTTTTCGAAATTCGAATACCCTCTACGATAATCATTCTCAGTGACAAAAGAGGGTTGCATAGAGTTAGTAAAACATTTATCAATCAGCGGCGAATCAGAGTAAGTACGCTTCGTACCCCGCTGTCACTGTTTTTGTTTCCAGAACGACTGTATAGGTGATCATCAGAAAGGCTCTACACGCCAAACGAGTAGAGCTTGCCGGAAGTCAAGGATGCCTTTTCGGAAAAGCTGGTCCGACTAAATTGCCGTACTACCGATAAACGGGAGATATGCACCAAGGGGAAACAACGCGTTTGAGTGTTCCAAACGTGATCATAGATAGGCGGTAAGATGGTCTCAAAATCAAGGACATAGTCTTGACACAAACCTGAATGAGCAAAGTGGGATCCCGGAATTTATAGTTAAGCTTAGCCTCTAGTTCGTCGAACCGCCAGGAAAGTCGAGCTTCCTCCAGTTGCGCTCGCCGAGGGTCATTTAAGGGAATGAGGGGTGGCGGGACGGCCCATGGCGCTCCTCGAGGGCGAAGATGAACATCTGAAAACAGGAAATATGGACGAACAGAAAACTGACTGGAGCGGAAACGAACGCACAGGTCATCATTCTACAAATACCACAAAAGGAACGGAATGCCAGGCAGAAATGGGAACTACTGAACAAAACCGGCTATCACGCGATAAAACTGTGTAGTGCAAGCGAAATGTGCATCCAGGTGCTTCTGATGCTTCTAGTGCCCACGCCAAGAAGGCGAATTTTACGTTCATACTACGTTAATGATTGATATTGCACCCAAGAAATCCCATGTGCTTCCTTATGAAGTTCACGTGGACTTGATCTTGCCAGAAAGCTCAACCGTCCCCTCGGAAGCGAATCCTGCCTCAGAACTGACGGATATTTCAAGGTTCCACTGTGAAAATCTTGTGGGTACTTCTCATGGGAATGGAAAGTCGATTGACTACTAACTCAATGAAAAATATGCATGTCAAGGACAGACCTGTAAACTGCCAGTTTATAGCTAGATGTCGGATGTCGACACATTGTCTCCGAACCACATATCAACAGCTATCATGTGAGTGTCCGGTACCGGCCAACCATCTACTGATACAAAGATGTGGTAGGTAAGGCTAAACCAACTGATCAAGCGTAAAAATGACCTATGAGGACAGTATGCCATGGTCCGGAAAAAGCAAGCGGTTCCGGTGTCCTGCGGGAACTATAACGAAATAAGCGTGACACGTCTACCCAAATTAAATAAACAACCATAGAAGATATCAGACCGTTGTTTGGCTAAGCAGTACGAGAAGTCTTACTCCAATGGTGCGCTAATTCATCCTTGCTGCTGGTGGAGTCATGATCAACCGGTTACCAACACAAACGTATTATTAGGATGGGACCACCTTCAGGGTTGTTGCCGCAAAACACTGGCTTAATGGAAGAACCGAAGCTCGTAGACAGCACTAGTGTGACATTCACTCCTATCATCTTAATGAAATTGGGACTAATACGAAGTCACCCGATCAGATTAGGAATTCTGTCATCCTAAGATTCAGACAAAAAAGGTATTTAGTTTGGTAGATCAGTATCAAGCAGTAGGAAGGCTGAATACTGACAAGAAGTCAAGTAAACCAATAAAATCACTCAAGCATGAACACGCTTGGTTGTTTAGGCGCGGTAGTTCAGATTCGTCCAGAGTGCATTGGTGGTAGCATGCTTACCGAGCGTTCTGAGTTCAAAGCCCGACATAGCCAAGGATATGCACCGACGTTGTGTTCTAATGAGAGCGAAACGGGTCTCCGATGTTTCCCCTCTTTGGAGTGAACCCACCAGGACTGTTTAATCGAGAGTGATGGGAATGTGGAAGCTCCGTTGAACTTGAAAAGACTGACTGGAGCGCCTAATTTTAGGAGCAACTGCCTCAGGGGGGAATACCGAGATAACATAGCAACGGGGGCCTGGCACAGGCTTAAAAGAATAATCATAAGCGCCAAATTCATGACGGTTGTTCTCATGCACCTTTACTTATCTGATGGGGATTTGGTTGATGAACAAAATAACAGAAAATACTAGGTCTAAATAGTCCTATCATCGATGAACAAAGAAGTAGCAGCTATAACCACTGTACAACAAATACGCGGTTTTTTGATGCTGATGATGATAAGACACAAAAGAGCTGTCATAAATTTTCAAGATAGAGCGAAAATCGGAAGATACAAGGTTATGATACTAATGAAAACGTCTCCGTCGAACCTTTATTGACTGCGTATAATTTCGTCACTGAATGAAGAAAATGCTGGCAACTGAACCAACGGATTGGAGTGGTGAACCACGTGACAGCTGCTGTCAGTTGGTCACGCAAAAATATTTTACTTTTTGAGACCTGTCTACTTGGAAGAAGACCAAATACATGGAACAAACCGGAGTGTTGCTAGTTAACCTTACAAAGGTGATGGTCACTTAGCTCTATTCGCAGTTATTACATAAATTCTACACAGGTACTTACCTGGGCCCGGAAGACAATCAATGCCGAACCAGCGCATCAAACGTAGAGCGGAACGTTCACCACGAGCTGTTAAATAACAACCAATTAGGGCTTCCACACAATCAGCTATTGACTTGTCCGGGATGGCTTGCTGAATTGTGACCAAACAGTGGTCGACGCTGAGGAAAGAACAACAAAAATGACGTAAGGTAAGCGAACGAGACGTATCCAGCTTAACTGACAGTTTCGAAAGTGGAATACTGCCCAATCCAAATCACTAAAGTAGGTCGACTACTCTCAACCAGGAAGGACGTTAGTGGTTTCGGTTGTGTGGATAGTCATTACTTTTGCCCCTGTACTAGGCAGTTAAACTGTAGATGTGTCGCCATCGAACAAGGTGAGGCCATTAAGGCTCGTGAGTCTGCACTGTTTTTTTATAGTATTTGTTCAGTCCTACTGGCTTAGGATTACGGTGAACATCTGGAGGCAGGTTAGTTAACTAGTCAGTGTTGTAAATGATAGGCGCCCAGATGACTTCTGACATTGCACAACCCCGTTTCCATGCTGTTACCTTCGGTGATGTGGTTCAAGATGGTTGGTGTATTGTGGTTGATTGTTCGGATGGTACGCTACGTTTGAGTATTCTCATAGAACTGTTTGTCCTTTGCGCCTGGTGGCTTCTAGATTAAGTTTGGTTCGAAATGTTAACTAACCACCAGGATTCCTGCTTGAAGCTACCTATCATAAGAACAGCAGAGCGAACAGATATTGCGTAAGCATCCCGTAGAAAACCTAGCGGCGGTGTACCTAATGAGATGTCTGCAACACAGTTGCTTAGTTCGACAAACAGTATATCGCGCAAATGTACATCTCCGTGGAGAGACGTAAATCATGAGCAGGGGAGGCAAGACAGGAAAGGAGCACCTACATTCGTTGACTTAGTTTTTAGAAAAACGTTCAGCTGTAAGACCCTTCCGGTGTCTGGCTGCCATGCCACCCGAAGGAAGTAGGAGGTTGACTTAGTTAAAAGGCTGACTAACAAAAAAGATACGTTCAGATATATGAGCCCCACAAAGAATTTTAGCGACACAGGCACACCTTTTTTGGGTTTTCACAACCTCAGGAGAATTCGGGTCCCATTGTGACACGGCGAAATTGTCGATCGGTTTTATCTCCTCGGTGTAGACCTTCATACCCAGAAGTACTTCGTCGTCCATCAAAGTATCTGTAGACCAAATGTTCAGGTTCACCTCCTTATTCGATTGCCTTGTGGGGCTTTGGAGTGAGTTGTGATCTGTTTTGGTCACCAAGCGCGGATCATGACGAACAACGTAACCAGGCGGAACCCAGTTCTCGTACGGACCGAACTTACAGGCAATCATTCGGTCTTGGAGATTTTTTGCTCGACCCAGACGATACAAGTTGGAATTGCAAACCTAGGATGAAGAAATGCAAATCGAATATGGAATGGATTGAATAATTCAAATGCAACACAGGAATTACGTAAAACTTTTTGCAAATTAAGCAGATACAATGTTTCCCACCAAGTACCCATCGTACAATAAGTGGTGCGACACTCTCGGTGAATTTAAGTGGGCATAAACTAACAGATTAATCGCTGGCAGTGGAGGTCTATCCCTCAAAAGCAACATGCTACTAGTAAATTTTTGTGCTACGCAACTGTCTGAAGGAATGCTCCAGTAAAGAATGAAAGGGAAGAAATGGCCGGTCATCACAGCCCTATGTTAAGATAGAAAAGCATCAGAGAAAAGCAATGAGGTAAACACATCTGAGCATCATATCGAAGACGGCATCAGTGAGATTGACTCAACATCATTCGGGAAGAGCCCAGCATGCAACTACAGACAGTCCCCTGAAGAGTGATAGGATGCTCTACATCCACATCGCTTACGTGATATATCCTGAAGGATAACCCAACGGAACCCAGCCAAAAAGATGAAAAAAACACTTAGTTCGACCGTAACCGCTTTTAGCTGCCGCTGTTAAGTCATGGCCTGTCCCTCGTGAGCCTTTCAGAGTTAAAAACAGTGCTTTTTTGGTAGATGGTGGTTGGGCAGTCATAATACATGCATAGACTAATTTAACCTGAAGAGTTTTGTGTTGCACAGTACTCGCATACGTATTGCTTCAGTGCGATCACGCTACAGTCAGATAACACCTGATACACTGGGAAGGCGTCAATGTCCAAGCGTTTGGAACCATATTGGAGCCATATTTCATAACCACACAGCAAGACTGCTCACATAGTGCCTTTGTGCACACATCCTTCCAACTTCAGTGAAATTAGCTTCTCGCAACACAAATGACGCATAATGACAAATGTTGCTCGCGCCCTAATGACGCGAACAGTGACCAATTTCTATCACGGCACAGTCATGGCTTATGAAGCTGACCAGATAGGTAAACTGGTAAAAATCTCAAGTTCGTAACCGTGTAGTTTCAGAGTTCCTGAAGCAATACTAAAAACACTGAATGTATAATACCCACAGGAAACTAGGGGTCACATCAGAAATTCTGTCCAGAATAGGGAGTGCACAAAGAGAACCATCAAATAACGAGAAAATGTCACCCACTCATACTCTAAATGCAATTCCGATACCAAAGGTCGCGGTCCCTTAAAGTGTGCATTTCATATATGGTCAACAGTCTATTCACCGAACTGGGCAAATTCGTTACTAATCAAGCAAACACTATCGATCTGCGGCAGAGTCCTGATGCATCGCAGTTTAGTGGTGGGTCGATGAGCAAAGCTTCAGGAGTGTTCATACGTGTCTCGTTGAGGGTGATTAGTGATTAGGGTTCTTCTTTGGAGTGGTTGTCCTATTTATTGGTTCAACTGCTTCTGTCCTGAATGAACATTTAGGGTTAATCTCCTTGAATCTCACTCGTGAAATTTATCTCGTCGGTTATATGGTCGATCCTGCCGCATCGTCCGTTGGTTCGACAGTCGGTACCGTCCGAGCTCTTTGAATAATTTGGCAATTCTTCGCAGCCTAGGTCGATTCCCGACGTCGACATGCTTCAGCGACAAAAAAGTGACAAAGTACGATCTAACTGATTAGTAAAAGGATACAAGGTCGACGCTAGCATAAACTTACCACACGGCTCCGCATATGACTCAGTTTGCCCTCGTGTGCATTTGGGTAGGTCAAATACAGATGTACTGTTGCAACGAATTTCAAGAAGCTATCGCCAATAGTCTCCATACGTTCCAAATTGATGAAATCATTTGAACATGACATAGTCAGTGCCTGAAGAACATTGGCTGGACCTGGCCTGTAGACACGCTCGTTATGATGAGTCACTCGGTGCTGGTCATTGTTCAGGGACTGTTGAAGGGGAAAGGATAGCTGAAAGCATCCGAAAAGTCTGTGCCTTTTGCATTTCAGGAACAAGCGAACGTTCAAAATATGCAACCAAACCCCGACCTAATCAAGCAAAGGTGACATTCTGAAGCGGTTTTATTGAATTCTGCGTGTTTTGGAAGAAAATTGGACGGAAAAGAGCAAGTCTTGGAGTTACACATCCATCCAAATTGAAATGGGGGGAAAGGCTTTGTATGTAATAGAACAGAACGCACAGGGAAATTAGGCACCGGCAAAAAAATCGTTCACCTGTAACACCCTTCGGTGCCTAGCTACCATGCAACCAGAGGGAGGTACGAGGGCTGAGATATTGCCAGATTGCCCAAGCCCAGACAGAAGTCGAGAGGCAGAAGTCAGGTTCGAAACACGGACCTTCCGGCCAGTAAATTCACGCTCTAACCATTTGAGCCATCTCGCCCCCGGTAGAGAACTTGGTACGTTTGTAAGCGGAAATGAAACCGTATGTCTGTTCACTATAAAAACATAGGTCTTATATTTTTGTCTACAAGTGAAAACATCACAGGAAGCAACAGGATGTTTTCAGTTATGGAAGATAAATGACCAATATCTAAGCGTTTCACTAACTAGCGTTTCGAAATGCGGGAAGCGAACGGCTGAAGCGACGTAGGTACATGTCTAAACGGTCCAATTAACCATAGTTACCTGATCAGAAAAGCGCTGGATTGCTAACGCAGGGTAGGTAGCAGCCTCCACAAATGCATGAGGAACAAACTTGACCAAGTCTTCCTCGGTAAACTTTCAGAAATGTCATTATACGCATGTCAGCTAGGGACGGTAAAAAGTAAACTAGCTGGCTTACTGTACCATTATTCTACGACCGATTTCGAGCACAAGCTCTACTCGTTTTTGTAACTGCAATAACACTGTCGGTCACTTGGAGGAACTTGTACGCAAGACACCGTCCAGAAACTGGATTGTTATGTTTCGAAATTTCCGTGTGGAAAGGGAGTTCCAGGATCCGGTTTGAAATCCCCCCACGCGGGCTAATGTACTTCATGTTCTGAAGGAAGTACACCTGATGCGGAAAATGTGCGACAAACCAGATGGACTGGATATATATGCCAGCGATAAAACTTACTAAGGTCGAAAATACACCACTAATTTCCTCCTCGTCCTGGTTGTCAACTTCGCAGTCATCTTCAGACGGGAAGAATCGTACGTTCCCCTCAAAACTATCTACGCTTTCCACATCTGATCCGGTCTCGAGATACTCCTTGTCCATGTTTGTAAAGTTATCGACTATCCTGTGGTGGTATGGGTAAAATACATGTAAATAAGTGATAAGCCGTATACCGAAGTGAATGAACATAGGAAACCAGTAAACTCGAGTCAATGAAAAACAGCTTAAGAGATTAAAACGCTCACGTGGGTATCAGGAAGGTCAGCTTCCTGAAAGTAACGACTGAATGCCCGGAACCTACGGAGACTTTCAGCTCCGCTAGGTATTGACCAGACAGACAACGCCCCCTCAATCTGCAGCGCGTCACAGCCTTGCATCAAACTCAGACAGCTCGAGTCAGCGTTGATTAAGGTCAGACAACGCCTCCGTAATATGCAGCACGTCGCTGCCTCGTACCAAAGCCAGACCGCGTGCGTCAGCATTGGACCAAGTTCAGATAGTGTCCTTCCAATAAAAAGCTTGAGGCCGTTGTACTTTTCGCACTCGCACGCACTCGCGCTCTCGCAACCACTTTGTTGGAATATAGCTATTGTGTTCCCTTCCGTGAGCCGTTTTCTCTCCGACACTAGGCACTGGAGCGGGTCAGCAGCAAATACCACAGGCCGACGAATCAGCAGATATAACAGTGGGAGAGCTCGAGATGGCGTGGTCGGCAGAAGGAGAGCTCCACACTTGACGCACCGATTATACCTGTCTTGTTTCCGACAAGCTTATAAAGTTTTGGTCTGAATCAAGACAGAGCATGGATAAAACTATAATGACCAAGGACGCCTAGTCTTCTCGATATATACCAGTAAAGTAGCCGGGCACTACGTTACTTCCGTTGCAGTTGTGACGGTCACTTCTGGGCTATGGCTCATAACAATATACATCAACCAAACAATCAGCGGGAAAAGAAGTTGGCAATGGATCTTACTTCTGCTTTCTACAGGAGGACAACGAATTGGAGCGTTCCATAACACCTATTCTGAATCTAGTCGGAAGAAAAGGGGTTCCACGTTTTCTGTTGCTAATAAAGGTGTGTTACATAATGGAGAAACAATAGCAGAATGTCCTGTATGGTTAGTTGAGCTAATCTCTTTGCAAAGCTGCATTCAATTAAGATCATGGTGATTCCCCAATGGAGACAGAAAACTACAGCACACAAGCAAAAAAGAAGAGAAAATCACGAACATACATTAAATCTTCACTGTCCCGATTGGTGACGGCAGCCACGACAGCTTTCAAGTAGAAAGGGGAAAGGCAAATAGAAGTAATTGTAAGCAACATATAAATCATCACCATCATCATCGGAAGTATAACATCAGCGTTCAAAATTGATTCTCCTCTGCCGTAAAGAACTCATAGATAATGTGAAGCGAAGACATTGTCAAATACAACAGAGATTACTCATACCTCGCGAGACAACTATAAGATTGCGTGCGTTTTCACTATAGATCATTCATTCTGAACTACCGTAGATCACGAGTGACAGGTATCACCAAAAATCAAACACAGGATTCGTAAGAATATTACTTTTGTAAACTGGCTTGAGAAAGTTAAAACGTTCACAAATGTAGAAGTACCACTTGGTACAGACTCATCAAGAGAGATTTCGCTGATACTTCTCAGTCATTTTGCCTAGAAAATAACCTTGAAAGTCACCTGAGTATACTTGTGTGTGGATAACATTACAACTGGTGTTTCAAGACGGTTAGCAAATCAACATTTGAATAATCACAGTGCTGGTGTACTCTTGGCCGCAGTCAGGTAGAGACTTACCACCAATCGGCCAGTCCAACATCTACACATACACGACGAAACATAAGATATATCTGGACGATGCCGGATCATCATCACCATCATCGACAGCACATCAGTACTCAACACCGATGCTTCGTTGCAGTACAACAACGACTAAGTCGAAAGCCTTATTGTGAAGAAAAGAATAAAAGTAGACGGGGAAGGGAGTTGGCTCTAGCTTACTACAATCATTAGAGGTGCCTACACCTCCAGACACTCAATCAGGCAATCTGGATAGAAACTGACGACAAGAACACAACTGACATCGATTAGCAGCCATATGTTGCAGCGTCTCCAACTAGGCTCAGTGAGATCATTCAGTCCCCATCCTGGAAGGCGCCGAAAGCACCCAGACTTTTCGTAATCTCTCCCATACCCCTCTGCCAGGTCAGAGGTTGAGCACCCCTCTGCTTCCATTATTCTGAACTGAACACCGCAAGCGATGGTTCGGCGTATAAAATACATGGAGCAATCAACGCAACTTCTGGTCTGAATACATTCTTCAATAAAAGTCCCCCTTGCACGACCGAAATTTTGCGTTCTAGTGCCTCATTATGAAAGAGATGACTTTGGTCAGTTGATCCAAAAGCATCTGCGCCTTCTCTCCGAAGACGAGAACCATGTCATCTGCACAATCCAGATCGACAAGGACTTTGTCAGATGCTATCTGAACACCGGAGTTCTGAAGACCTTCCTGCCTTTGTTTCATCATATTACTAATCACGAAGTTGAAACAGGAATAGGGCGAGTGGGCACCCATGCCGAACATCTGTTTGTGTATAGGAGCTTTCGGAAAGCTCACCGTATGCTCTCACACGCCCGCAATCGAGGATACAAAGGCTTTGTTGTATTACCTATTTCCGGGGCATTCCCTGTTGCCAAGCGTGTTAAGCAGAACAATCGTGTCAAACGCGCCTTTGGAATCCAATAATACTAAAATTGAAGGTGACAGCTACTGGTCACAGGAAGTTTTGTGCGAAATATTCGGCCGAACGGTCGAAATGTTCTTCTTTACTCAAGATGATCGCTCCATTCTGATCCCCCTGATGACTTCAGGGTTTCACGGATCAACTGAGTTAGTTTGCGGGAATTCCCGGATATTTGCGTTTCTTCCATTTCCTTAGCCTTCCGAGTCCATCAGACTTCGCGGTCAGCGCGCACGCTCACTTTTACTTCACTTAATTCGTCGGCCAAGTAATATTCGGTGCCGGCATCAATATTTCTCCGAGACTTAAGCAGTGTTATTGTTGGGTCTAATATTCAGTGATTGAGTGGGCCTAGTGGCGCCGTGCCACAAGCAAATCCCCAGTACTGCAAGCAGGTGGTGATCTCGTCCAAGTCTGAATCCACATATGTTACTGGTTCAGTTGGAAGAAACTCCAGAAGACTATTCTGATGAATTAGTCTGATATCAGGATCTGCCAGTCTCTCCGTGGCGAAGTGATTTCTACGCACATTATGTGGCCCTTGAAAACAAAGGGATAAGCGACCCCGGACGAACGCGTGATCGGAATCCACAAATGTGTTCTAAAACGACCGGTAGTCAGTTGTTGATCCGCGCCATCTATAACTGATGGTGATGCGATCAATTTGAGTTCATAGTCAGCATGAAATTGAAGAACATCACGTGGCCAGATGACTCGATTATTTCGGATGTTATTGATGCATAAAAGCAACCCTTGGTTAGTACATAGCTGAATCAATCTCTCACCATTGTCCGTACGTACCGAGTCCAATCCATATCGACCACCTTATTGAGTCTCAGATGCGCTAAGTCTGCCCACTTGTGTATTCTGGTCTCTGACAACCACAACTATATCTGAGCTTTCAGCTCGCCACAACCGGGCATTCAGGGTGTTATGAATCTTTTCGTTGAAGGTTTCAGAGCTACGGTCATTTGGGGCGGAAGCAGATGCAACAAACAGACATTCGTTAACTTCCCCTTGTGAGACTCCTTCAGAGAAGTCGCCAAGTGAACAGGCATCCAGTCAAGCAAGGATCCTTCCGCTCACTGACTTAGAACGACACCAACCACTGCACATCCTGCCGCAGTATCTCCTAGAACGTCTGGGTTGTGTGTTCGGAAGCGGGTGGAGTTGCATCTTGAATTCTTGTTTCTGAGACGCAGAATACCAATGCCAAGCGAGTCCAGTGTGACAACAACAGCAGCTTGTTGTCCTGCTTGCTTCAGAGTGCGAAAATGGAAGGGTGCCAGATCGATTTGGCTTCGAGACCTGAAAATTGATTCCGAGATATCCGAGGATGTCGGCACCGAATGATGCACAGGTGTTGCTCGCAAAACTGATGCAGGACAAACGGAGTCTTCACTCTTTGCATTTAACCCAACAGGGAGAGTTTTTGGTGGGGTGAGGAAAGGGGGAGGAAAATGTATGTGAAAGAGGAGGAAGGTAGGCGTCACTAGTAGCCTGTTTTCGCTTATTTTCCCTGCCGCATGCAGCAAGTAAGGAGTCTTCCCTGACGTGACATGAGTTCATTAGTGCAGTTCCTGGTCGTAAATAGTTTATGATACAGCCAGGGCACCCACACCTAGACAGGAGGACGATTAGGGTCATCAACCAAAGACTTTGGCTCAAAAACCTGACCACGAGGCAACGGTGTTTGGCCGGAAATACAAATGCATGCATACATGTTCCGACCTCTAACCCGGAGGGCCATGAGACTGTGATCGTCAGAACTCTAACCATTCAACAACCTGATATGACAAACTGCGAGCGTCGCATACACACACACACACCAGTATAGCTGAATGGGTTGCGGGGTACACAAACCATCACACCACGGTAAGATCCAGTCTCTTCTTGACGGAGCGAGGAAAACAACACGCAGCAACTGAAACTTGGGGCGGTCTGGTGCAGCACATTCAGTTGATTAAGAATATCATAAACGAGAGATTTAGCTGGTTTCCAGGTGAGCCTCTGTTCAAAACCAGATGAGTGTACAGGCCGAACACGTTATCCTCTTTAAACATCCCGCACTCTTGTCTGCTTAAGGCATCAAGTGGTGATAACGAGCATGTAACAAGGATGCGTGTATTTGGGTTCAAAGGGAACCTAAGTCTGAAGGATACTCGGGAAATGAAACTGGAAGCAACAAGAAGGAAACCGCCCGCGGGTTGCCGAAGAGCTTTCATCAACTTTGAGTAGTGTGCTCTATCTAGACAATGCAAGTAAGTCGCTTCTAAAGATAGCCAGGGGGGTTTGTTGGGAAAAACCGTCAAAATTCTTTTCGACGAAATGGCACTATGAGGTGGTCCCGTAATTTTCTTCTGCCCATTTCGTACGTTCTATTATTTTACACTGGGCTTAAATTCCAGAGAGACCTGAAACCTAACCAAAAATCTTTTAACGTCATCATCATCATCGACAGCATGATATCAGTGTTTAACACCGATTCTTCGCTGCCGTAACGGTGTCATGTGGCGTACATCAACGTATGCTGAAACTCATTGCAGCATCTTTGTGTCAAACATCAATCCCTCTACACCTAGAAGCGTGAACAAAAAACAAATAAACTCATTAAGAAGGGTAAGGGTGGCGAGTCTAGGAGGTATCAGAAGCCAAAAGATGTTCTTACCTGTATCTTCAAGCTCAATCACCTTCGTCTCTTCCAACAGCATGTCCAAGCCCAAGTGAGGCAGCCCAACAGCTGCACCAGCGCTGGTTGCCTGGCAAGGACTCACAGCAGAGGATGCATGTAACTTGACGAATTTCGGGGGCTTCATAGAGTGCCTCGACCTAGACGTTTTTTTGGAACGTGGATGCTCATAGGTTTCCTCTTCCTCCTCATCTTCCTCATCGACTGCCATTTCCTGGTTGTCGTCATCTTCCGTATCCCCTGCATCTTCATCAGTGGCTCTATCCTTGGACATTTGGGTGGCATTATTGAGTTGTGTTCCATCCGCCTCCGGAGAATCTCTTCCTTCACCTGATGGAGCTAAGTGAAGAAGCATCACACAAATAGAGACGGAACAGGCTGTACATGAATTCAAACGAGAAGTGATGTGATGAGAGAAGAAACAGCCGACGGTAAACAAACTGACCGCGGTGCGATGCCGATTTAAGGCGTGTATGTGTGAGCCGAAATTCGAGGACGTAACCGAGGTTGTTGCAAAAGGTGAAACTGAAGTCCTGTTACTTTATCACTAACAACCATCTATAGACATTGACCAAGAGCTTTTCAAAGCAACCCAGGGTGTATCGGAACTATACTGCTTGATTCAAGTCATAAAACACTGGTTTTCGTTGTAATGTCTGATTGTGCAGAGAACTCAGAATACCTTATTCCTAGGATTCTGAGGACATGCGTCCGGGTTCGAAAAGTATTTGACCCCTTCGAAGGCAATCTCACCCTTATGGTAAATCCTATTCCTGCTGTAAATACAGTTTAGAATCACATAGACCGATCAAGT